TAAACCAGTCTCAGACAGACAAGCTTCTCATTTGTAGTTCCTATATTTTATATAGCTGTATAAAATCAAGTACATATATATTAAATGAAAATGCAAGTAGGTTTGTCTGAGGGAACAAAGGGACTAACTGATGGAAGGCCAGGAAAGGGAAGACAGAGGGAGGAGGACAAGGTGGATGTGACCAACATACGATATATGCCTATAAGGGGAAAATCCATTTGTTCAAAGAGGTGGCCCTGGGCTGCGGACGGCAGACCCTGACACTAAATCAACGTAAGCCCTGTGACTTTTCCTGACCATCACGTGGCTACCTCCAAAGACCCATCCTGACGGCACCTGGTAACACTGGGAAACATGCTGAGTCCCCACCCCAGGTTAATTGGCCATGTAAAGTATGGCTGACCTTCTAGAAACACTCAAAGCTTAAAGGGGACAAGCAATGTGAAGAACTGTTGTTTGTGTCTTAGCCATTTGTTGGTGCATATCAAGGTAGGCTGTGAGACACACTGGTAGCAGGTGCTGTTACCCACTTCGCAGGCCTCGGAACTGAGGTGCCGAGGGTGAGGAGAGCCGCGGACCCCCGCGCATCTTCTGTCAGAAACGAAGCTCAGTCGTCGCTCCTCTGCCGCGTGGCATCTCTCTGCGTTCAGTTCTGCCAGCTTTTCCCTGGCCTCCGATTTCTTCAGATCAGTGAGCAGTTTCCACAGATAGGACCTCAGTTGTTTTAAGGGCAAAGCTGACAGACTCTTCCCGACACTGGGGTTGGGTGACTTGCCGCATGGAGTTCCGGATGTTTCCAGATGTTGCACAGGGTAGCGTGTGCACCTGGAAGCTAGCTCCCGTCAGGTAATCGGGGCTAGGCTGCCAGCACAAATCCCCAGCCACAGGCTGGCGCTTCCCTCTGCAGCGGCCCCCCTGCCCAGTCTTCCAGCTCATGCCTAAACTCTTGTTTTATTATCCAAGCAGGTCATTAAGCAGGTATAATTGACCTTGGTCTATTTAAAGACATTGTTGAAAGCAGCAGCTGGCCTAAATGGGGCAATGAGCACTCATGCCCATCCTAGGGACCCTGCGTGCTCTGAAAGGAGCCTTCTCGTCACAGCGCACAAAGGGGTGGAGGATCTGCAGCTCCCAAAATGGAGGGCTCTTGATTTGGTCAGAAGTGTGGGCTGATGGGGGACTTCAAAGCTTATTTCTGAGCTTTTCTCTTTATCTCTGCCAAATGTCCTTTCTCAGATCCTGCCTGTATCCCCACACACCTCCCTGGGACATACATACATACAAACTGCCTCTCATGCTAGCCAGCAAGAGCTAGGTATAAATCCCCCCAAATAAATGGTGACTCAAATTTCCTGAGTGTCCCTTCCAGGCTAGACACCTTGCCTGGAACAACTCATTCGGTGACTATACAAGCCTCACAGAGGAGTCAGGGCTGCCCGGTTTCAAAACAGCAGAGATCAAGCACAGGCGAAGGCAGGAAAGGGAGAGACGGCCCAGCACCCAGAAGCCGAGGGGAGAGCTGCCTCTGCAAGCTTGTTAACGTGTCCTGGAGCTATGCACCAGCACCTATGCCGCTAGGGTCTTCTCCAGAGCAGTGGGCTCCTGCAGGACCATGGTGAATGGGACAGGCGCCTCCCAGGCTTAACGGAACATGGCTTATCAGGCTCTGGTGACCAAAGCAGAGGTGCTGTCTGGACCACGGATGAAAAGCCACTGCCAGTGCTCCCTGCCCCTCACCACGGGGCTACAGACAGCCTAAAACCAGCAACCCGAATGCTGCTCCCAAAGCCCTGGTGGAGGCATCTGACCTTGGAGCTTTGTTCTCTCCTTTGAGATTTCTGGTGATGACTGGACCCCATTCCGTAGTCCCAGGTCTCACCTTCAAGGGCACAGCTGAAATCCAACACGGTTCCCCTCCCTGCCAGCCTCCTGTCAATCCCAAAGCCTCAGGCAGCCTCTGCACCCAAGCGGGGGATGCAGACAGGCCTGCCTGGGGGGAGGGAAGGGAGCACATGACCCTCTGAGACGTCCCATGCCATCGCATTAGAAAAATATGGAGCAGGTCAAATTTCCTTCGTTTCTTAGGGTTTATAAAAAACAAGGCTGTGAGTTTGGGTGGGAAGCGGACTGCATAGGAAGGTCCCTTAGGCATAGAAACCCAGACAGCCAGCGTGTCTGGGGGAGGGGTGACACACTGTTTGACAAAGGTGTCATGTGATATTAAACATGGTCTCAGACCTGTGAACACTGACCTTTGACCTTTCCAGCCCCACCCCCATCTGTCCTTTGCCCCCCCCTCCCCATTTCAAATCTGAAATGTAGATTTGGCTTGAATACAAATACCTTCCTCTGGCCAGAACTGAACGTTCACACACTCTGACTGCATTGAAGTGATACAATGCCGGGGTCAGGGTAACACAAAATACTAGGACCGCTAGACATAACACAGACTCGATTTCTAAACACCATTATAGTGCTCGGCGGTCCCAGCCCCCACCCCAGCCCAAGCAGCAAGCTCAAGGGACTTCCCATTTCATCTCCCTGCTTGCTCGGGCCTTCTCTGTTTCTTCCTTAGGTGCCCCCATACTTTTGTTTTGTTTTCATTTTAAAAGTATGGAATCTTATCTAGAACTGTGCTTTTTAAAATAAGGCCAAGAGCCGGAGAAAGTGTGTGCAAATCTGCTTGCAGCCTGCTAAGAGTGTAACCCTACACCATTAGGAAGAAGAGCCTTCCTTCTGCCAGCCCCGTGCTGTTGAAAAACCCAGCAGATCACAACAGACCTTCTCAGGGACTAGATACCCTCCGGCTGAGCAGTGGGTTCTCTAGGAGACTGGAGGGAAAGTTAGCCAGGAACAGGGTCCTTCCCCATTCCCCAAAATGCTTACTGTTCAGTGCAGAGCATCTACTCGTGTGTGCCTGTGTGTGCACATGCTTGAGTGAGTGGGCCCCATGTGTGCATATCTGCGAGCTACGTATGTGCACGGGAGGCAGTGGATGCGGACATGCTTCCATGTAGTGTGAGCGTGTATAGATACTCTGGCGCCTGTGCAGCGAATTCGTGTGAGCAGTGCATCTGTGTCATGGAAGCGGGTGTGAGTGTGTGTCACCGCACACGTTCAGAGGCTGGGGGTTTAGAGAAGGTGCGCGGTGACAGATGTGCCAGCTGGATGAAGGGTCCTGGGCTTCCTCCCGGAAGCTGCTGCAGAAGCTGTAGTTTGGGTGGTGATAGACAGGAAGCCACACTACGAGCCTTTCTCCTGCCCCTCTCCTGGGACCCCCAAATACTTCACCGTGGACTTCCCCTCTTGTGACTGGCTTTCCCCGGGACTGTCAACGAAATCCAGCCACGCTCGGTGTTCCCAGCAACTGAACTGACCCCCTGGAAACTGCTGCCTTGTTTCTCTGGTCTTGGAGTCATTTGTACCTCCAGGTCACTTCAACCTCAACTTTCGCCTGCATTCAAAGCGTGCCCAGCCAAAGCTCACTCACCCCGGAGAGACCTGCCCGAATAGGGAGCTGCGTGTTACCAGATGGACCAGGAAACACACATCCTAACTTGTTCATCCCTCTAAACCCTCCTCCTGGTGCCTCTACCCGAGTAATTCCTCTGAACCTTCTAGTCCCCAGCAGTCCACCTACCTAGCAAGTGACAAAAGACTCACGAATTAAATTTTCCCTTTTCCCCATAAATTTATGCTCTTTACCTACCCCCTTATATTTCTAATCTCTTAAACTCATTTAATTATGTCCAGAGTAATTAAACTTGCTATCAGGGGGCATCTGGAAGGCAAGTTAATACATTTTAATTTTACTTATACAATGAATCTTTGATGGCATCCAAGGTGGGGGAGACGCTTACACACTCGCACAGTCTGGCGTCACATGCTCACGAGGTTCATGAGCAGCAGGAGGCTGTGGGGTGGTGCTGGCAGGCTCATCCAGCCTGTGGACAAGGCCTGGGGGCGGAAAGGGTTAGTGGGCAGCATGGAAACAGAGTCAGGCAGGGGTCAAGACTCTCCAAACTCCTCCTGACCCATCAAGGTCCCCAGGATTTAAACTAGACAGCATCCTCCACAGAAAACCTGAGAATTTGTATTTCCTTTTAAAAATGGGAGGAAGTGGACAAAATAAAAACTAGATGAGGCGTGGCTTGTCTTGAGTCTCCTCTGAGAACAGAATGAAGACCGGGTTTTCCTCAGCCAGGTAGGTGGCAGAGGAAGAGCTGACTCAGATATAGTCCAACCAGCTCCGCTCCAGGCCGTGCCCGTCACTTGCAAATGAAGAATGGGCTGGGTGACTCCATGCTAGGTACAGAGACCATGACACTGGCGAGTGTCTTCCTGTGTCAAGCCACCCTCAGCTTTGCCACCTGTGGAGTGAACAGATGAGCAGAGGCTTGCCAAAACCCCAGCCAGGGCCTTGTGGCTTCAGAGCTCCTGGGGAACAGAGGCTGGGAACGAGACCCGTGTGAGCCACGATGCATAAAGAGATCCAGGAAATAGTCCAAATCCACAACCCAGGTTGGGACACATAGCATAAGTGAAATGTAATCCAATAAATGGCAACAATGTAAAGTTAAGTGGCAGTCTGTGCAGACTGACAAATGAACTCCCAAGTCTACAGCTTACTGCATGCCAGGTCTCTCTCTGAACACTCAGTGGACCCCGAGACATCCTCCTGCCCTGGGGGGGGGGCTCTTGTCCCTAGGAGGCCCCCTTTGCTAAATGGCAACCCAGGCAAGATGAATCCCCTCAGAAAGGGTGAAGGATCCCCTATGGGAAGCCCTCACCTCCCTGGAAACAGATGTCCTGGCCCCACAGTGCCAACTGCGGTATCACATCCCCAAAACACAAACCCTCCCATAAATCACTCTGGGGAGCCTGTTTCGTTTTCCTGTTCTGATGAAAGTGACCCATGGGGGAAGGGGGGCACAGGCCGAAAGCCCTGTCACACTCGAGGGCTCCACACTTCCCTACAGCTTACTGTAAAGGTGCTGGTCAAAACCACCAGGGAACGCCCCGGGCTGTAGTCTTGGACCACATCGTCCATGCAGGCGGCCCAGGTGGCATGCCCACAGCCTGGCTTCTCCACTCATCTTTGATGGTTCCATGCTTGGATTTGGGAGACCCAAGGGTTCACCTTTGAATTGTTTGGCCACCCTGACTACACAGGTATTATTGTCCATTCTGTGCAAATGTGTGTTCTTGCCACTTCTCTTTAATCAGTATTGCGGAGGTGGAGTTTTACAAAGGGACCTCGCCGATTTCAGATGTGCTGCTCAGTAGGTAGCTCACTTCGGACAGTCACCGTACTGTGTGAAAAGAGAAGTACTCTGGGTCCTCTGACCACACCCCTGACTCTCAGTAGTCACTAAAGTATGTCGTTTTGCCTTTTTTAGAACAGGGTCATTGACTGTGCAGTGTTTTTTTTAGTTCCTGGCCTTTCCCCTTGGAATACTGTCTTTGGGACTCACTCATAACTGCTTCGGGCATGCAGTGCTTTCTGCTACCACAACTAACTCACTACTCCTTTAAATGCTAAGTGGTACTCCAGAATATGGCTATACCACAGCTACCCACTCACCAGTTGGCAGTGCCCTCGCTCACAGGCATGCGTGTTCTCTGACATGGAGTACAATTTCTTCATGCACTTGAATCCCAGTTATTGTTGTTCATTTGATGTAAGAAGGTCTTGTCCAGCCTCTTTGTTGAAACTCAGCTGATGACAGGCACATGGTCCGCCTGTGACTCCTCTCCTCCATGCACCCCATGTCCACTGTAGACAAGCCCCACAGCCTTCACAACATAACTTTACATCTTGAGCTTGGTGGCAAGAGTCCTCCATCTTTGATGTGTTTTCCCAATTACTTTGGCTATTCCAGGTATTTACATCTCCATGTGAATTTGAGAACCAGGAGGATTTGGGAACCTTAATCAGATGAACACGAGCTCAGCCGATCATGTCTTCTGACTGTTACATGTTAAGTTCCGGGAAGACTGAGTCTCAATCCCCAGGACTCCTGAGTTCAGCCAGATCCACGTGCGAGGAGGTGAAGACAAGAGAGGCAAGAGCTGAACAGTGGGAAGGAGTGGTGGGAAGTCACGTGTCAAAAGTCAAAGGTGATGCAGGGACGACTCAAAGTCTTGGAGTCCCCCCCCAAAAAAAACCTAGGAGTCAAGAGGCCAGTTTCCCTCATCACTGTCTCACAGCAGAGACTGATCCCAGACCATCAGGACTTGAGCATTCTGAAAGCCAGGAGAACCTGGTGGTGGGATCTGTTGATTCACCACTAAAGAAGGGAAAGGAAGCTGACTTCATTTCTCTGTGATGGTAGCTTCTGGAATGATCTAGAATGGTTCAACAAAACACAAACTGAGAGGCAGAGGTCAAAGAAGTCCATAGTGAATTAGTAGCTCAGTCTAGGCTAAAAAACGCCGGCGCTCTCCGGAGGCATCTGCTGCATCCAGGCTGTTTCAGGTTGTGTGTGTCCTCCCCCATTCAACAACAAAGCCCCTTTGCTTCACAGAACTGAGCTCAACAACTTGGTCAGAAAGGCACAAGCTGGTCTCAGACCTCCCAGCCTCTGCTTCTTCCCTTTCATGGGCAGTTCAGCTCTCTCCCTCCTATTGGGAAAGACCAGCCCTCTCCAAATGGATGTGCCCAGGGGAGTGGACTCCAACTCTCTGCCAGTCTCTGCAACTCATCCTCCTTCCAGAAAAAGGACCCCAGGGAGATTTAAGCTTAGCTTTGTGCTCTGGGAAACCCCTGCCACCCCGAGGTCACTGGGCCTGTGACAGCCCTCCCTCTCCCAGGTCTGTCTGTCAGCGTCTTGGCTCCTCCTCTGAGAGGATCCCAAAGTACCTCTGATCTTCCTCCTTTGGCTACCTAGACACCAGCTGGAGAGCCTACAAGCCTAGCATCCTCCCTTCTCAGAGGCTTAGGAGACCTGAGCCTAAGTCTTCCCTTGATGGCAGCAGGGTCTTTAGACTCGAGGGCAAATCAAGCCTATCTCATCCCCAAGGCCTTCCTTTGCCCAGTCTCTCTCCCCACAAAGAAGACCCTCTGTCTCAAGAAAACAGACAGGGCTCTCGAGCTGGAAGCCCCCAAATCCAGCTTGCCTGGAAATCATGTAGGAACGAACCGCTTACCTCTTCTGCTAGAAGCAGTTTAATTACTAAATTAAGGCAATTCCTTTGTTTTTCTAAGCGCAATGACATTATAGTAATACCTGTCGCTAATGGGTCCTAGACCTCCCTCCCACACCCTCCCACACCCTCCCCCAGTAGAACTTACAGTCCAGTCCCCAGGGACAGCCCCACATTTCTATGCAAATCAAGTGTCCAGAGTGAATGGGGGAGGAGGCGGAGTAGCACTTTCTCCATGGCTGGGCGGCTGGAATATATGCATAATAAAACACCATTAACAGCTTGGAATTAATCATTGCTCTTACCCCGAATGGCCTAAGAACTATTTTCTGGGGCCTCCTCTGTGAAAACTGTAGATGGCATTTGAAGGTAATGGAGCCTCTGAATATTTTTCTAATTAACACCACATTTTCCTATCTGTCTCTAGAATGTTCCTCTATCCTAGAATACCATAAATTGTTGTAGATATTCAAGGATTTTTTAAAATTGCACAATGATCATCAAATGTTCAATAATTTTGCAAGTGCTTCCCTTTAGCTAGCTGATGGCGTTGGATAGGTCTGTCAGTGACAGGGCAACAGAGCAGAGCCCTGATATGCAGCTCCTTCTGTGGGGACCTGAAGGACATAATACCCCTGCTAGGCCTCCATCTTCTCCTTCTAACATGGCCCTGCTCAGGCCTCCAGCCGCTGGGGAATCCTCCCCCCACCCTTGGCAGTGAGCTAGTTCTAGTGCTCCACTTCTGAGGGGAAGGGTGAGTGGATGTCTGCTGCAGGATCCTGCTACAGCAGGAGACAGCCCCCGCCCCACCCGCACCCTACTCCCACCCCCCCACCCACACCCACACTGCTTCCCCTGGTCAAGCCAGTACCACACTGACAGCTGCTCCACAGAAGCCAACAGGGCTGCAGCTGAGCCACTGGGGAACTGAGTCCTCCACCCTACAGCTAGAAACAGGACTCTGCTGGGAGCCCCTTCATCAGCCTGGAAGGGGACCCGCCAAGCTAAGCTTCCAGAAGATTGCAGCTCTGGCCGGCTCGGGGACAGCATTCTGTGAAAGGCCTCAGCAGGCTGGACAGCTCTTGGGCACTTGGGCTCTTTCCCCATCAAGGCCGTGAGACGATAAAGGAGCTGGCCTAACTGCTGCGTTTGGGGTGCTTTGGCCTGCAGCCATAAATAAATGCTACTGCTTATTATTCAACAGATAAACCTTACAGATGTTCCACAGGGGGGTCAACATCTCCTAAGCCTTGGGTTTGTAAACTGTAAAGCACCTATGGGCCTAGAGCACACCTTGTTTGGGGCCCAGCCAACAAGTCACATTCCTCCTCTAAATAGCAAGTCGGCTGTCCTGAACACATGAGTTGGGCTTCATGGTTTTGTCACATAGGTAGAACCCACTCACCAAAGCCAGTGTGTAGGCAACAGGGAGCCAACAGTCAAGGGAAGCGAACCCCCAGGAAACTGCTCTTACTTGGCTTCAGTCAATGACAAACCCCAACTGATAATAGTGATAAGCGTCATTTACTGAACAGTGTGTGCCAGTAGCTTTGTGACCATTCTCTCCTATCCTGGCCACTGCCCTAAGAATAGCTCACCAAATTCTTCATCATGATCATGTCCCTGTGCCATGACCCTTTTTGAAACCTTATTTCATGGCTGCATAATACTGCATTCCTGAGCAGACTGACTCTGTCCTTACTGTCTAGTACTAACGCTACTTCCTGGGGTTCCTTGTCATAAATCTGTGGTCCTCACTCCCATACTAAGATCTGTGATCACGTCTGCGACTATTTTCTTAAGATTCGCTGCTAAAAGTGGGACTGCCGGGTCATGTAAGCGAACATTTCTTTAAGGCTCCTAATGCGTGTTGCCAAATTGCTTCCCTGAAAGGTTGTGCCGATTCCTATTCCCAAAGAGATAAACACTCAACTTTGAAAGCGAGGGGAGTTTAAAAGTGTGAGATAAGCTGACATCTTGCTTAAAGCCACAGCTCTTCAAGCTCCCCCAAAAGGGCCATCTGAGGAGCCCTGCGACCCCTGCCTGAGGAAGGCTTGTTCGGCTCTCCTGAATGGCGGCTGCAATTCCCAGCATCCCCAATGTCATTTTACCATGGTTGTAGGAGGGGATTGGGTGGAGTAAGAGGGGAAACAGAAACATTTGCATGATAATAAGCCTGAAACTTAATAATCGGGCTCTCACAAAATCTGAATATGCTCCTCTCCAGCCAGCTTCTCCAAAATGGGAGGGCTTCCTCTGAGGGCCTGGGCCACTCTCACTGCCGGATCTTCTGTCAGGGCGCTGAAATCATTTCTAAACACAATATGAAGAGAAGGAGTGAGCCAGGTCACAGCAAAGAGAGGAGACATTTCTGTGGCCAGGATGCTTTCTCGGTGGCAGCAGGGCCGGAGGACGATGCAAAACTACCCTTTCTAATGGAGAGAAGTCACCCTGCTTTGTTACATGTTGGCATGACCCAAAAGAACGATGTGCCTATTTCAGCCTTTGAATGATGCCATCTTGCTTTTGTAAGCTAAATAAAATAAAATATTCTTTTTAAACGAATATCCAGAATGACAGTGGAGGTTATGAGGGTGAGGGAAGGGCTATCTTCTGCAGTGACCTGTGTCTTCAAGAAAGAAGCCAGAGTCAGGTTTACACATGGCATCCCTTGGGGCAGCACCTTCACAGCACGGCTTAGAGAGGCCAAAAAGGTCCTGTATTCTGCCACTATTTGGAATGTTCTCGCTCTCTCAAGGCATCAGCTGCTCTAACACTAAACAGCTGTACTTCCGGTTATGTGAGAGCATGCAGGCTAAGGAGGCCGGGGGGATCTACTCCACACAACCATCCAGGGGCCCAGGGAGACGCAAATAAACTAAGGGCTGCCCTTATGGGTCAAGTGGACAAGAAGCTAACTGTTACAATAAAATGTGTGCGTGTATAACTTACATGGCTCACATAAGTTTTAGGAATTATAAAGCAGCTCCTCTGTGCCCTGGTTTGTGTGTGTGTGTGTGTGTGTGTGTGTGTGTGTGTGTGTGTGTTGACATTTACTTAGCGTGTGTATGTGTGCACTGCCCACACGTGTGGAGGACACAGGCCAGCTTGAGGACATCAGTTCTCTCCCTCACCCACTGAGCCAGCTCATCAGCCCTTCTCCATGTTCCTGGCGTCCGAGAGCACGGGGATACCCCATGAGCAGAGTTAAGAATAAGAGGAGACGGAGACCCAGGGAGGAGACTTGAAGCACCAGTTGCACAGCCCATCAACTCGAAAGAGGATTGGCAGAAAGGATAGAGTCCAAATCACCATAGTAAGAAGCGACTGCAAGTCGCTGACAAGAGGCACTGACAGTGGGTTTTTCAGATGCCACAGTCACCCAGGATCCTTCTAGATAGGTCATCGGGACCAGGGTATCTTAGAATTCCGGCCCAGCATTGCCTTGCTCACCTGCTGAAGCCCCTGTCTTACTGTGGCTGATCTTTTCTCATTCAGGAGCCCAGTCAGAGCAGAGGCCTGGGAGAGATTACTTGTTCTAGCAAGGGAAAGGTTGGGAGGGTCTACAGAACCCTGGCAAAGCCTGCCCACTGATAGGGGGTGTCCTTCTGTGTATATGTTTCTCTTATTGGTTGATGAATAAAACACTGTTTGGCCAATCGAGGCAAAAGATAGGCAGGACTAGGAGGTGAGGAGAATTATGGGATAGGTAGCCAGAGAGGCCCCGCAAGGGGACAACACCATGCCACATATCTGGCAAAGGAGTAACAGGTCTGGAAATTCTCCAGTAAGTCAAGACCACGTGGGAAAACATATGGATTAATGATTAAGATACAGCTAGCCAATAAGAAGCCCTAGCCATTGGAAAACAGTTTATAATTAACAAGTATCTGTGTGTTTATTTGGGGCAAGGTGGCTGCAGGACCAGGCAGGACAAGAAAACTACAGCAACAGCTAGCTTGGCTCCATCTGCACCACCTGGGGCAGGAGAATGATGGAGCAGGAAGCCAGCGAAGGAGATGGGGGTTTCATGGTCCTGTGGTATGAAGCTGGACCAGCTTCCCATCAGCCCTTGGGACAGGAAGTATCTTAGTCACACAAGCCCGGGACTAAGGGAAAAAAGTGTTCTTCTTTCAGACTTCAATAATGCACTAACAGACTTCTGGGGAACCAGGATAATTAGCAAAAGAAATCGGAACGTCCTGGTTGTTTTAGATTCTCACCAGTACCTTCATTTGTTCCGGTTGAGCAGCAACTTGCCGCTGTCTCGGGGTGCATCATGCTTAGAGTTCCCACCACGTCCCAGTTTGCCCAGGAAGGTCCTCCATCTGCTACAGACCAGCTTGGCCAGTCCCCAGAGGTTGACAGCACAGTTTCATAGACGGCACCAGTCAAGGGTTATTTTACACAAAGCAACAAGATCCTGGTCACCTGGACAAGGAAACCATGGACATCCTCACACAGGGAACCAAGATGAGGACAGCTTAGGTCAGCTATCAGAGTCTCTGGAATACAGTACTTCTCCTTCCCTGTGGGGACAGAATTCATAGTTAAGACTTCTGGTCGCCTGGGGGGGAAGAGCTTGGAGACCATCTAGTGCAACAGACCACACAGTTAACAAGAAAGAAGAGGTGAAGAAGTCGTCTGAGGAGACGCTAATGCGCACAGCAACAGTCTCAGGACCGCTGCTCCTCTCTCACCTAGAGCTCATCCCACCACGAGTGAACTGGGCACTGAAGTTCCAAGCAACCAAATTAATGGGCCCCAAGAGATAAGCCTGACATCTGTGCGGGCCTCCAGAGGAACATTCCCAGTAGTCACCCGTGGTGACAAAAGACAGGGTAGTGATGGCAGAGTCCACCTGGGGAGCTCCAGTGTGGTGCCTGTGAGGCTACAGTGTGGCACGCCACCATGAGCTATGACGCTCTTCCAGGACTACACAGCTCCAAATGCCAGCCATCATCACAGCCCCAGCCATCCAGCAACGCCCGCACACCCGCTGGGCCAGGGCAGAGGAAGAAGGTGCATGGATACCGACCTCCTCAGAATCTCCTCAAGTTCATTGCGACTTCTGAGAAGCTGAGTTAAATAATACCGCTAAGAACAAAAGTGCTGCAAGCACGCACTCACTCACCAGCGCGTTATTTTTCAAGGGACAAAAAAGGCTCGGTTCCCAGAAAGGAGTCCTTCGAGCAAGTGACAGCCTTGGTGAACACTGGGCCCCAGTCTGTATGATGGAACACGGGAGGGTGAAGGTAGGGTATTCCTTCAGGAGCCAAC